CAAAATTAGCTGGGTATGGTGGCGGGTGCTGTAGTCTCAGCTACTCAGGAGGCTGAGGCAAGAGAATCACCTGAACCCAGGAGGCAGAGGTTGCAGCGAGCCGAGATCCCATTTTCAAAAAAACAAAAAAGAAAAGAAAAGAAAAAGAAAACATGCTGTTTCCACAGAATTAATTTGTTACAGTCAAACATAGTTTCTGTCCTATGTTTATTAATACAATTTCATCATCATCATCATCATCATCATATTTTCAAGTTACTCTTCCTAAATTTTTTTTTACCTTCTTTTGAATCTCTGTTCTTTGGTTCCCGCTCTTCTCTTTACCTCATCTCCCTCACTGAATTGTGTGTTTCATGAAAGGAAAGTTTGTTCCCTATTTACAGTTGTGGACAGAGGACTAGTAAAATTTCTTGTCACCTACTATTGAATCAAGTTTACTTAATGTAAAACATTGATGTTCCCAGTTACTTGTAAATCTACAAAAGATTTACAGAAGAGGCAAAGCCTGTGAAGTGTCAACATAAAGGTTGCTGCTGCTGCTGTCAACATCTGTTCCCCCAACCACATGCAGAACTCTCATATGGGACAGCCCATGCCTCCTGAAATCTGTTATTAAGACAAAAAAAAAAAAAAAGCCTAATAGTGCAATACTTTTTATTTCTTAAGCCACAGCAATAGTGAAACTGTATGTGTTCTTTTGCAGTTTTTTTTCCATTCTTCATAGGAAAGATGCTAAAGTATAATTTCATTTAGAATACCGTATATAAATTATATATAGATGTCCTTTAAGAATTATAAAAATAATGAAAATTATATGCATCCTTTATCTCTTATGTTTTCCTTAATATTTCCTAAAGAATTGTTATGTATCAGAAAATGATTCAAAATATTCAGAATTATTAGCCTCTTAACCACTGTGTTTATTAGCTTAAACTAATAATAGAGAGCAAACTGGCTTTGCTTCTTAGCATAGGTTTTTGGAAACTTGAACTCAGAAATCAGTAAATTCAAAAGGAGTTATAGTTTCAGAGTATTTGGCATAATATATTTGAAAAGAATATTCCCTTCACTTATCTTTGTTTGCATTAGACTTGTGTTAATTATGTGATTCCTCTCCATAGCTCCAATAATAAAGAGATCTCAAGTTGGAATGTGTAGTTCTACTTTTCATAAGTATCATTTAAAAACCGATTTATAAATCCTGTGACTTATGAAATATTTGTGAACAAAACACCCAATGCCACTGGAATAATTCAAATGAAAGAGGGTCCTACATTGAGCAATTTTCCAGTTTAATACCTGTCCTTTACAATTGCTCTGCAGTTGACCCTTTAGTCCTATTTGGAGTTAGCAGATGAAAATAAGGTTTCCCTTCAAGTAGTGGTTGCTAAGGGCAACTGGTACTGACGCCAAAGACGAATACTCTACCTCCTTAGTATAATGCCTACTTTGTGAGCTAAATAAAGAGCTAAATTGTAGAGAAGGAAGTTGTACAAATGTGAAATATCAAGAAAGGAACAGAAACAGGAATATTAGAGATGGGAAAATAAGAAAAAGAATTACTATAATAACTTTTTTGGTAACTGCCTGGCATTTTGGACAGATGTCCTTATCTCCTGGGCACTCTGCATTTCCACCTTTCATAGCTAGAAAATTAACACTGTTCACTGGGGCAAGACTTTCTTTTGTAATATGAATTCATGTAATTAGTTCTTAGTGGATTTTGACAAAATGGAAGTGAGACTGTGATAGAAATATTTGTCAGCTTTTTAAGCTTGGATTTTCAAGCATAAATATTTTGTGTCAGTAGAATTACTTTATGCTATTTGGAGAACTTGTAGTGTCCTGGGTCAGTTATCTCTAACTCCATGTCAGTACAGATTGTTTTATGAACATGTTGGTTTAATGAGAGAGTCTTCATATAGAATGTGTTATAACAGTGTTCATAATTTCTTTGACCAAATTGCACTTAATGTATTCATTGCTATGATTTCAGAAAGGTTTTTAAAAACTTTATAGTGTCCGAGGCAATGCTGTTTCTAAAGGGTGAGTTCATTACTCCTTTATGAGCATCTGCTCGATGCCAGGTGTTTTGCCTATCTACAAGGAGCTCACAGACTGGGAAGATGGACATAAAATCAAGTCATTACAGATAAGTATACTGTGGGCTATAATCAAGGCATAAATTTGATGTTATAGGAGCACAGAGTGAGAAACATATTCACTGAGTAAGTCACATTTAGCTTGCAGGATGGTTTGGAGTTTGCAGGTTGTGCGAGAAACATCTGCCTGCAGCAGCATTCCTTCCTTGATTATCAATGTTCATGCAACTGATCTGTTTCATTGCACGTATTTGAATGTCTCTTTCCTTCCTCTACACTTCTAGAATTAATTTGTTGGTTAACTCAGCTAGAGGAGTATTTTTCTTCTTACCGTGGGTTTTTTTTTAATATGAGATTCTGCAAATACATTACATGTAAGTGTGAACATTTTGAAATTTTCTACGATGATGAAGAACAAAATGAAACTCTGTAGGCACAGCTAGGAATGGCCTCTGCAGGAAAATGTCAACTTAATGTTCCAGGTTTCTCAGGACAGTCTAGACTCCAAGTGAGTCCTTTTACCCTCGTAGAAGTTTGCTTATCAGACCTTATGTCCTGATGCTCTTGATCGTAGAAATTTGGTCAATGTAGCAAAGACACAAAGGAATGAAGGAGGGCTGGTGAGGCCTGGCTGTAATATGGTGCAGGAATTATGAGACTGGAAAAGTATGCAAAGACATACTGTAGAATGTTTTGTATGCAACACTAAGAAATTTGGACTTTGTCCTTCAGGCAAAGGAGCCATCACATTTTTCAAAAAAGAATGAGGAGGTGGAATTATTTTTATAATTTATTTTCTGTAGATAAATTGACTGGAAAGGGATTATTTTTAAAAAAGAATATTTCTAATAGCAATACAGAGAATGGATTGGGCTTAAGTTTTCAAAAAAGAGACTAACTGTGAAGTATAGATTTATGTGGTACTAACTTATAGATAATAATTAAAGCCATAGGAAATGGGTAGGAGAACCCAAAGGAAGCATGTGGAATAAGAAAACAAGCAAGAAGAAGGAAGGAATTATTAAAAGCATACATGAATATGAAAAAGAGGAGAAATATGCACACGAGACTTGGAAGGAGTGTTTAGAGAGTTAGAAGAGAATCAGGGGAGTGTGTTTGGGAGGAAAATGTGGAGAGATTTTAAGATAGAAGAGTTGATAAGGACTGCCAAATCCTGCTAGGGCTGTAGGATGAGACTTGAAAAAGTGGATTTGGCAATTAGGCCATTTGAACCTTAGTGCTGGTAGGTTCACTTCATAAGGTCTCCTTTGTTAGAAAACAAAACATAACAAAGCTGTTAGTAATAGGATACAGGATTCTTTAGCAGAGCAAGGGAGTAAAAGTTTTTCTCTGGAGGAAAAAAAAGGGGGGAAGATTGCAGGAAAATGAAATAAATGTTAGGGCCCAGTAAAGGAAGCCCTAATCATAGAATTGTAGGACTGGCTATTACTGGTTGTTTAAATTGTACCACCATAGGTCAAAACTCCACCTAAACTATTCCAGAGACGTGAATATTGTAATTGCTTATACAGAATCCTAATTATGAGCTAATAAGAAGAGACATTAAAACTAGCACCCCACTGATTTAATTTGGAGAGGGACATTTATATTAGCTGTTTCTAAGACTTATCTTTTAATTCTTCCCAAAATCAGTTATTTCACAGTTGGTTCACAGTTTTGAAAGTAGAACTGCTAGAGTAAAGAGAGAAATTTACAGCTTCAGATGTTTAGTTTCTGAAGGTGTCAGAATCCCATGTTTCTCTTTTATTTATTTTTCGCTGAATTTTGGAGAACACTGATTAACTTGAAGTTTTAGATTTAATTTTTCTTATGGGTCATTACACATGAATGCCAGCTGTCTTCTGCCGAGTAAAAACTAGGACAGTCCCATTCCAGCCTACCCTGTTTTAAGCTACAGGGTCACTGAGGATGTAGTAAGAAATTATACATTTTTTGATCAAGTAAATGCATCCTTTTTTCCTAGTAATTACTCTCTTCCATATTTCACAATTTATCATTTCTATGAGGAATAGTAGCACAAGAAATATGCAACATCTGTGTCCCTTAGAAGGGGCCCTCAGAGAGGCCTTGCCTAGGGTTGTGCTCCCCTCTGGCTGGGCAGGAAGACTTGGTCTGCAGATAAACTAGCTGCATAATGGATGGTTTCTGTTATTTTGGTCTGAAGGCTTGATATGTAACAGATGCATCCTTACTTTGTGCCTGTCCTTTCTTCTCATGGATTGAGAGATGCAGAGGGGTTGTGTGGCAGAGTTAGGAGAAAAAGCATTGGCCTGGGGAGGAGTTCTGGGCTCTAGTGTTGACCTGGGCCCAAATTAACTCTACAGCTGATAGTGGGCAAGTCGATGAAGCTCACTGAGGCTGAATTTCCTCATATATAAGATAAAGGTGGTTGTGCCACCCTGACTACTTCATAGAATGGCAGTGAGGACCAAGGCAAGAATACCTGGACAGACTACCTCAAGAAATGTGATATTGTCATGATACTGGAACTACACCTTTTTAAAAATAATTTCAACTTTTATTTTAGATGCAGGGCATACATATGTGGGTTTGTTACATGAGTATATTGCATGATGCTGAAGTTTGGGATGCAAATAATTCCACCACCCAGGTACTGAGCATAGTACCCAACAGTTTTAAAACCTTTCCCTGCTCTATTAGTTCCCCATGTCTGTTGATGCCATCTTTATGACCATCAGTACCCAATGTTTAGCTCCCACTTATAAATCTCACTGAGAACTTGTGGTACTGGTTTTTTTATTTCTGAGTTAATTCACTTAGGAAAATAGCCTCCAGCTGCATCTGTATTGCTGCAAAGGATATGGTTTCATTCATTTTTATGGCTGTGTAGTATTCCATGACATATATGTACCACATTTCTTTTTATCCAATCCACTGATGGTGGGCACCTAGGTCGATTCTATGTCTTTGCTATTGTGATTAGTGCTGCATTGTACATATACTTCTATATTCTAGGACAACTTGCCGTCAAGATATTTGTACACATAAATGACCATTGTTGTAAAACATAGCATCATGTGTCTGTATTTCATGACTTAAATGCTATTTCAAAAGGACCTTAGTTTTTACCTAAACTCAAAACATTTTTATTTCTATTTTTGCTTTATGATTTTTTAAGCTTACTGAAAAGTACAGAAAACAATAAATATTCTCGTACTTCCCTCTTATATAAAATGGTGCCACCATCCTGTCACATTTCCTTCAGATTTTCTTACAACAGAACAAAGCTTACAGAGGTTGCTGAAACCCCACCTGTCCATCCCATTCACCTCTTTTCCTCTCTGAATGTTTCTATCTTAAAATGTTCACACAATGACAAAAATCATCTAACAACACTTCTCAGAACATATACATGCCAGTTAGCTGTGCATGACTGTGTTTATAATGTATACTATTACTTATATTGGATTATCAGTATTATATATGATTTTATATAAATATATATGTGTACACATACACATATACACATATACACTTGTTTTGGGAAGATTTAAACTTGTACTTAAATTGTTTCATTCAAAAATAAGGTTTTCAAGAGCTGGGTGAGGTGCCTCATGCATCTGATCCCAGCTATTCACGAAGCTAAGGTGGGAGGATAGCTTGAGCCCAGAAGTTCAAGGCCAGCCTGGGCAACATAGCAAGTTTCTGTCTCTAAAAAACTAAAAAATAAAGAAAGGTTAACAATTTTTTAAAAAGTGAGCCAAAAGTAATGTTTTGAGAGATTCAACCATATTGATGCTTGCAGTTTTAGTTTATTTTAACTTGAGAAGAGAATGTGGCTATTAAATTGCTGGTAAGAAGGTACAAATATCTAGTAGACCAATTTGGAAGAAACAAATAAATTTGGGAGAATGTATATCCTATGGCCCAGCAATTTCACTTCTCTGCATGAGAAACTCTTACACATGTGCACAAAAATATCTACAAGGTTGTTCGCAGCAATGGCTTTAATAGTGAAAACCTGGAAGTAATTTAAGTGGCCCTCATTAGTAACATGGGCAAACAGTGGAATATTATACAGCAGCGAAAATAACATTTTAATAAAATGAATTATAGTAATGAGAAAAATTGTCAAACTATTAACCACATATAAATCTACAAACAATACTTGATAAAATATGGGTGCAAAAAATATTTTTAATATTAGGCATTTTATGAGCAAGATGTTTTCTCTTATACCCTATTCATCATAATTTTTACATAATCTATTTCCTTTTTAAATTAATATGTTGGGCTCGCATGAGATAATTACAGAAGAATAATAAGACATTTTCAAAAAATATGCAGGTTAATAAATGGGCAAGATCTATTTTGCAATTTTTCTCCAACATGTTTGTGTGATGCTGAGTGGCAACTCTTTATATTATCTCTTAGTGGGCCACAATCAAAGAACTGCATAAATTAGTGTTATTTATGGGTTATCTGCTTTAAGAAAATCTGGCATATTAAAACATAGACTTAAAAATATATAGTAAGCTGGGGATTTTTAAAAATAGAGGTATACTTGGATTTATAATTGGAAACACCTTTGCATAGGAACACTCCCAGCATCTTAAATATGGCTTACTATATGAAATTTATTTTTTCAAAGCTTCAAGAATACATCTGTTTCATAAAGAAGAAAAATATATTCATAGTAGTAATTTTAGCACTAAATAATGATTGACACTTCAATGCCACATATTAGTAGCTCTAGTGATAAAACTCTATCAAAGATGAAGATAATCAATCAGTTTACTGCTCCCGCTTCCAAAGTCTGATATTTATTTGAGGTTAATCGTGGTATCATTCTTTAATTTCATATCTTGTCATGTTCATCACTGTGAAGTTGAGGTAAAATTCTTTTAACTCATTCTGTAAAACTGTTAAGCTATAAATCAGATGTTCGTTAAAGTCAAGTAGAGTTCAGTCTTATGATTTCATTCTCCTCAAGAATCATTGAGTAATCTTTTCCCTGTGAAACAAGTACTTCAATGAGGATTGATTTTGCAGCTCAAATAGGATGGTTATTTTTACTGGCCATTCACCATGTTCATTTATCCTAGATTTTACCAGTTATGCACTTCTGGGTACCATCTGAACTGTGGAAGGAGCAAGTGGGATGCCAGGGAAGAGGAAAGGGCCATATAGAAGTTAAAGGACACAATAACTCATGGTGGGTCACAACTTTATTTATTTCAGCAGCTTCTTCTCTGAAATATGGTATACAAATTCTAGATTTATTCCTAGATTTAAACCTTAAACTATATATGGTGAAAGCAGCTGACGGTGGTAAGACAAACTGTAATCTAAGATGAATTTCAGAATGAGAAAACTTAGAAGAAATTAGGATACAATTCCTTAGGCTTCTGTGAAAAATAAGCAAGGCAGGAGTGATGAACAAATATTTGATAATGAAAGTCAAGAGAATTACAATAAAATAAATTACTTAGGACATGAGTTTAGTTACTGCAGTTTTATGTTGATGTTTACATTTTTAACTATTTTACCTGTTATGTTGTTTTATTGAAAGGGTTCCTTTTTTCAGCTTTACTGAGGTGTAATTGGTAAATGGATATATTAATTAGCTTGATTATGGCAATTATTTCACAATGTATACATAGATCTAAATATCAAGTTGTATACCTTAAACATATACAATTTTTACTAAAGAAGTTCTTGGTAAAACAAAATACATTTTCAAAGTGTATCAGCTGGGGACGGTTGCACATGCCTGTAATCCCAGTACTTTGGGAGGCTGAGGTGGGAGGATTACTTGAGGCCAGGAGTTCAATACGAGCCTGGGCAGCATAGTGAGACTCCGTCTCTACAAAAATAAACAAATAAATAATAAAAGTGTGTTCATTGATGTTTGTAATTGATTTCCACTCAAGTAATCAAGTCAGAGTTTCAGAATAAAGTTATTCTTTATTTTAAAACCCAAATATGTAAAGCAACAGTAAAAATGAATGTATTTAGACTTTTTTTCTTTTTGAGGCAGAGTTTCACTCTTGTTGCCTAGGTTGGAGTGCAATGAGGTGATCTCGGCTCACCCCACAACCTCCGCCTCCCGGTTTCAAGCGATTCTCCTGCCTCAGCCTCCTGAGTAGGTGGGATTACGGGCATGTGCCACCACGCCTGGATAATTTTGTGTTTTGAGTAAAGATAGGGTTTCTCCATATTGTTCAGGCTGGTCTCAAACTCCTGACCTCAGATGATCCACCCGCTTCAGCCTCCCAAAATGCTGGGATTGTAGGCATGAGCCACCGCATCTGGCTTGTTTTGTTTGTTTTTTTAATGTTGCAATTATGGGGGGATTTTCTGGGCATTATATGAACATGTTGAAGGTGTTTAAGTAGGGAAAAGAGAAAAGAGAATAAATGTTCCGTGATAATTTGGAAATAGATCTATGTTTTCTTCTTCTTCTTCTTCTTCTTTTAGAGATAAGATATCACTCTGTTGCCCAGGCAGTAGTGCCGGAGTGCAGTGGCATGATCATAACTCACTGCAACCTGGGCTCAGGCAATCCTCCTGTCTCAGCATCCTGAGTAGCTAGGACTGCAGGCATGCACTTCCATGCCTGGCTAATTTTTTTTTTTTAATTTTTATTGTTGTAGAGATGGGGTCTTGCCATGTTGCCCAGGCTGGTTTCAAACTTATTGCCTCAAACCGTCATCCTGCCTTGGCCTCCGACAGTGCTGGGGTTACAGGTGTAAGTCACCATGCCCAGCTGACTTAAGTTTTCTTAAGGATTTATTATACTTTAAAAGGCAGAATAGAGTTAACAGTAACACAGTCTCATAATTAGAGATTATATTGATTTCTTGTTGGAAGTCCCAGAAGGTACCCATTCTAACACTGTTTTGGCTGAATCTTATAGATAAGGATGGCACTTCGGAAAAACTAAGGGTAAGATGGTACATGAATGGTTAAAAATCTGAATCAGCTATTAGAGCTGAAATCAGGTGGGACTTTCTAAATTTTAGATTCAGATTCTCTTTTAAGGAATAGCTTTTATGGAAAGGGAAGTGAAAATATTTTTCTCTAGTCTGCTTTGTGGTATGAAATACCGTTGATCAGATAACTGCTCAGGTTCAAATTAACAGTAACTAAAGATGAGATCAGTGGTTAAATGCATTTAGAGATTCACAAATTGCTCCAATGACCAAAAAGGAATTTAAATATTTTTTTTTATTTTTATCAGCTGAGTAAGACCTTTCTTGGCTCTTCTCTTGACCTCTAGAATGAATAATTTAAGTTTAATGTTTTTTCTTACCGTGAGAGTTACGCTATCCTACTTGGCTGCTTATATCAAGTTAATTAGAAGATTGCCAATTTCCCCACTCTATTAGAAGTTATATAAATATCACAACTAAAGGACAAATGATGGCTCTGTTAATCTCAAGAATTTATAATTTGATGATCTGAAGGTTTATTTAATATAAGAATACTTTAACAGCATAAATTTTTGTTCTTAGCCACTTAGTTTAGTTCATGTTGGGATGAAATGGCCAATTTGGATTTTGATTAATTTGAAAATGTAGCATAATACAGTTTAGACTTAAGTACTCTTATTTTGGAGTACTGTTCATTACTTAGACATTAAATTAAGCTTCTGTGAGCAAAGCAGTTAACATTTATTGAGTCTATGTTTCGGGTATCAAGCTTTCCATGCAACACACCTTACTTTTCATGCATAATTAATTGTTCCTTGTTGTTCCTTCTTCATCTGTAAAATAAGGATAAGAACTAGACCCATTTCAAAGGCTTGTTTGAGGATTAAATGAAATTTATAGAAAGCACTTAAAACATTATAGAGTAAGCACTCAATAAATGTAAAATATTAAAATCAGCTGCTTTGGCCATCAAAACAGTCGTATGTTTTGTCACGTTATTATTATGTTTAGGCATTATTGTTATCCCAACTCTTAAATGGGCAGGAAGCTCACATAACTAATAATTAACAAAGCTGGGATACAAATTCGGTTCTGTTTGGTTTTAGGGTCCAGTCTTTTATCTGCATTCAAAGAGATAAATGGCCAATCTGTATAGGTATATCTACATCTACATCTATCTGTCTGTCTATCTGTCTGTCTGTCTATCTATCTATCTATCTATCTATCTATCTATCCTAGTTTAAGGTATTCTGAATTCTTCAAACAATTTCTGCCATGAATAATTCCATCCCTACCATCACTGTTCTGGCTCAGGACCATTCAACTTTTTTCCATTCTTTTTTATTTTTTTAAGATTGATTAGGTTTTGGTGGAGTGTCTACTCTTAAAACACAATATCCAGTTCTGTGGTTCTGAACCACAGTGAAAATTGCTTGATGTGTCACAAGTAACTTTTTTCAAACCAGTAACATAGTGCAATAAAAATCTAAAGTTTAGAAATTACTTTTTAAACCTAAATTCTAGCAGATACAAAATTATTCCTAAAATAGCGACCCATTCACTCCACCATGATCCTATACACTTTCTTGAGGGGGAAAGCAACGGTGGCACTGCAGCCAGTCCTCCAGCAACCTTACACAAGGCAGAGACCAAGCACTGGCACATTCCCAGCACAGGCTCTTTCATTCCATCATGGAGGCCAGGTGAAAGGCCCAGAATGGCTGAGCAAACCCATCCTTTGGCTAAGCCTCTGTGGAGGTTTTCTTTCTACCTTAATTGACCAGGTGAAAAAGAAGTATTAATATTATCTAGAATCATCAGATACCCTGTAATTTTAAGAGCAAATCATATAGTTTTCACTCTTCTGTCATGCGACTACATTGCTGTTTACTAAGTTCATTGTAGACATGCAACAGCAACAACAACAGCAACACAATTTCTAGATGGGACTTTAGTACCAGAGATAGGAGGGGAAATTTCTAGTAGCTTGAATTACTAAAATGACTCTCTGAGCGATTAATAAATTGTATTTTGGTGTACTTTGTATAGAAGGCTATTTGTTAAATACCAGCTCACAGTAAAAGGATGTTTAATTAAAGCTTCATATTCATGAAAATTTAACAAAATCAGCCAAATTGTTTTACTGTAGTTGTGCCACAGTTAACTGAAACTCACATAATGTTTAAGGCTTTTTAACCCAACTTCAGACCCTCTGAAATAAACTCTGCTTGGTTTAACCTCAAAAACACTGCTTTAGACAATTTTTTTAACTTCTGAAGAGCAAGAAGCAAATTTTATGGTATCAGTTTTGCAAATAAAATAAAGAATGAATAAAAAATTTGTTAATTTTGTAAATAGATAGTATTACAAATTCTATAGCTAAGAATTATTTTGTACTCCATGCATATGAAGAAAAGAAATAGAGATTTGTGGGGCCGGTTCTTTTTTTGACTTTTGTTTTGTTTTGTTTAGAGTTGGGGGTCTCATTCTGTTGCCCAGGCTGGAGTGCAGTGGCACTATCATGACTCACTGCCTCAAACTCCTGATCTCAAGCAATTCTCCCACCTCCACCGGGCCTGGCTAATTTATTTTTATTTTTAATTTTTTGAGACAGAGTCTCACTCTGTCACCAAGGCTGCAGTGCAATGCTGCGATCTCGGCTCACTGCAACCCCCACCTCTGGGGCTCAAGTGATCCTCCCAAGTAGCTTGGTGTGCACCATGACGCCTGGCTAATTTTTGTATTTTTTGAAGAGACAAGGTTTTGCCATGTTGCCCAGGCTGGTCTCCAGCTCCTGGGATCAAGCGATCCGCCAGCCTCGCCTCCCAAAGTGCTGGCATTACAGGTGTGAGTCACCATGCCCAGCTAATATTTTTTAATTTTTGTGGGATGGTTTTTGATGTATTTAAATAAACTCCATGTTACATCTTCATACATCATTATTAGAGAGAATGCTCAACTAAATTGTTACATTCTTTCCACAGCACAATAAAATTACAGAATAATTCAAAGCAAATACAAATTATTTTCTTAGCCCATCTTCTTAATTTGTAATGTTGTCCCAGAATACCCTTTCAGAATAAATTAACATTTACAAATAAATGAGTTTTCAATAAGGATACATTATGAGTGTGAGGCTGAGCAAAGATAAAATACTAACATTTATGTAGCAATGTGAAGGGCTGCTTAGATAACGGTAGGAACCAAATACACAATCACGAATTCATGTGGCTCGAGGGAAATAAATATGAGCATTCTTGAGTTATTGGCCAAGATCAAGGAAATACAAGTTTTTTTTTTTTTTTTTTTTTTTTTTTTTTTTTCCTTAAGGAGTATGAAAAGGTTTAGGAAACAGGTAATTTTTTGCAAGTGATAAAAAAACTATTAAATGCCTGGAATGTTGGAATAAATCGCTATGATCGAAGTAGAGAAAGATGTGTTTTTAAGGAACAAAAGCTCCCTTTGTTTTGTTCCACTTTCTGTGGAAATGCTTTAAGACTTAGCCCTGAGGACTGTGAAGCATCAGATAAGTTGTGATGTTCTCCCACGTCCTCAGCATGTGACCCATTCACACAGAATATTCAGATACAAATATGGGTTCTAATTGCCAAGTAGTATACATTTCCCTAGACTTCGTTGCAGTTGATTAAAAGAAAAATGGCAACTTTACAGTATGATTTCACTTCATGAAGGTACACTTTTGGCAGATTCAGGTAAAAAGAAATCATTCATATTTATTATCATTCTGCGTGTTCAGCCTTTTTCCTTCCTTAGAATCAGTCTTGATTACTTTTAAGGGGACTTTACTAATCTTTATCTTCCTCTCCATCCTGCCATCACTGACCTGCCTCAATCCCTGTTCAACCCTCTCTTATTCAGTCTCCTATGTGGATTGTTCCCCTGCTTTCTGTCCTCTGCACAGCCACAAGGCAGTCTATTAAGGATGCATATCTGTTTCTGTCACCCTGCTGCTAGACCCCTGCAGTGGCTCCTCACAACTAGTCTATAGCAGACAAGCTTTTATTAGAGCAGACTATATTCCTTGTGGGCAAAAGTGGTGGTTGTTTGTCATTTACTCTGCCCTTGAGACTCTCAACTCCACTCCAGCAACTCTGAACTTCTTGCAGTGTCCTGCCCTTCCCAGCATCTTATGCTGCTCCTTAACGTTCATCCTCTTTGCTCTTACTCTAACTTCTTCTTTTAGACTCAGCTCCCATATCACCTCCTCCAGACATTGGTTGAATGACCTTTGTCAATGAGCCCACATCCTGGGCATATCTGAATTACTGCACTTCTATGTTTTGTGTGTGTGTGTGTGTGTGGTTTTTGTGTTTTTTTTTTTTTTTTTTTTTTTTTTTTTTTTTTTTTTTTTATAGTTAAGCGTCTACCTCCTCCAGTAAAGTGTTAATTTCTGAAGGATTGGAACAATGTCATATTAATCCAACAAAACCAGAAGGGCTGAAAATAGTTAGTTAAACCATTTCTTAAAAAATATTTTATTTGGCCAGAACCAAGGTACACAGACGTAAATTCCTGTAAAGAAGCACTTGCAAAGAACCCAGTTCAGTCTATAAAGCAGCAAGTTTAGGTGGTTTAGATGTATGTCAGTATTTTTAAGTATTCCTTCATATGGTCTGGTTTTTAAAAAACATTTTCTGTTAATCCAATTCTGTTTGTGATGTGTGCTTCAATTTTCAGCTAGATTGCAAGAATGTATATGGCCCTGCAAAGAAAGTAATTACCTAGGATGAATACAGTTGATATATTTGCTGTTCCTGTGAAATTTTAAAACTACTCATTCTAAGAGATTTTCTCTTAAAATAAGATTTTTAGAAAGGGAAAATTCATTAAATAGTTTACTTGTGGCTGCTTTTAAATACTAACATTTTGTGTGATAATTTGTGTGCCTTACAAATTTGGCAAACCATACTTTTCTATGAAAATAAAAATGAGTCCTAGCTTAGTTCTTTCTTAATACTGATAATTGCACCTAACATAGGTGTTAATTTTGTTTTGGAATTTTTAACAACAGTTTCTATTCTAGGGTTGAACTTCACATTTTCAGATATGATTTTATGATCAAAAATCAGGCTTTGGGGAAGGTCATTTCCTATTTTCCTCTCCTTTATGTATGTAATTATAAATCTTTAGAGAAATATTACTCCCTATGTTTATGGAGTAACAGTAAAATCATGTTAAATTCATTCTTTAAAATTGTTTTCTAAAACCTCTAAAAGCAAGCTGAAATATTTGCAGGTTTATTATTTAAATCTTTAAATAATACATTCACAATATGCATGCTCTTTTTGTCTTTATAAATTACTCTGTTTTTTTTCCCAATTTCTCAGAAATTATCCAGTGAGAATTCTGCAGGACTGCATGCAGAGGTACTCAGTAAGTTAATTTAGGCAACTGCAGTAATGGCTTTCTTTGCTTAGCACGATATATTAAATATTTTGCAAAAAATAAAATTACATGTAGAATGACATATGCCTATAGAAATTCTATAATTTGATGGGTTCCTTCCTAAGGAAAAGGGGATATTAATTATTATAAATGATAAAAAATTTACTTCCATTCATGTAAAATATAAAATTTCCTCTTTGCTTAGAATTACCTTTTAAAATATGGAGTGTTACTATCTGATCTTTGTGTATCTTAATCCTATTGCAAATCTTTTGATTTGGTGATACAGCAAAGAACATGCTATGTCTTTCCCTACCCCACTAAGTTTATTACATTTAAAAGATAATTATAATGCTATTGCATTAAACGTATAAGTTGTTTACAGAGAAAATGTTACCTTTGTAAATTTTATTATGCCCTCCTCAGTTCAGAAATGTGGAGGCACATCACTGACTATACAATAGCTCAGGCCCACCTTTCAAGTTATTTCTAATATGACTCTTTCATGGTGTCTTTGCTCCAAATAAACTGAACTAGTCAGTGTTTCTCCGGTAATTTTTATTCTTTTCTGCCTCTCTGACTTTGCTCAATCTATTTTTCCACCTGGTATTCTTTCCTTGGTGTTCAGTCCAAATCCCAAACACATCATTCCCCTTAACCATATAGGGAGGTGGTGACATTCTCGCTACTTCCACCATGGGGCGTACTAAATAACTGCTTATTCACTTCCGTCTATATTGTCAAGTTGTGAGAACTGATATCCTGGATCATTAGAATTCACTGCGTGTCTGTCAGTTATCAATAGGCTAAACCGCAGAAAATAAAGCTAGAATATGTCTTTGTATTGAATCCATTTACTCTTTTCTCAATGTTTGACATGTATAAATAATACAGATATCCTTTGCCAAGATATAGATGTTAGAATTGTCTCTATAGACTAAAAGAAATGCAAGTTGCTTCTTTGTGGAAGCTTTGTGCTTTCTTAAAATAGGAAACTTTAAGTAGGTGCAGATTGACATGTTGAAGCATTTTGGTGTAACTATTCTTAAAAATGCCTAGAGCTTTTACTGTCCAAGTTTTTTTGCTTTTGTTTTTGTTTTTGGGTTTTTTTTTTTTTTTTTTTTTTTGCTAAAACACAGCTAATAAGATAAATCAAAATTCATAAAATGTAATCTCTTCCCCTGTAGGATTTTGTGGTCCCTTTAAAAAATAAGATAGAGAAGAAAATTTCAAAGCAATTATCAGACCTAATTTTTAACACAAAAGAGCTGTCAGATTTTATACCCTTATTACTTTAATCTGGGAGGTAATTTGTTATATTGTTATAATGTTGACAGGCTCAAATTCCCTGAAATAAATTATCAAAATAAGAAATGTAGTATAAGATAGAAAAATCTATTCTTTTTGGTATTGCTTCTTACCAAAAAGAAATGAGGTTTTTGTGTGTGTATGTGTATGTGTGTGTGTGTGAACATTTAAACAAAAGAAAAAATAACAAACTATTAAAATGAAGTATTATGTTTGCATACATTGATTTTGCACTAAACATTGGACAAATCTTTGCTGCACGAAGAGCTGGTTAATTTATTTCGGAATTTTGATTAAATGAGGCAGCAAAAATCAGAAATATTAAGCACTATAAAAATCAAATTTGATTAAAATGTCACTTAAAGTACAGTTGTGTTTTTTCTTTTTATCATGAATTATTGAATGGATCAAAACAGAAGCATCTTATCTACCACTGTAAATTTAGCCATTATTATTTCTTATTTTATTAAAGCAGGAGCATTAACATGTTTTGAGTACAAATTCTGAAGTGGAAAGGATGTTTTCTGTAAGATGAGGGATTCTAATAAATTTAATATTTTATAAAATATCCTGTTACAATTAAAATTTAAAAGATGGCTTACTTTGCTCATGGCCCTGTGGTGGGTACTAAAGTATTTATTATGTGAATAATATGTTCATATATATGCATAATTTTATAACTGAAGAATCTGAGTCCATATGAGAATGTATATATTTACATATTTTTAATCAGCTTAAGAGTATCAATCTGTAACTATTTGTTTCTTATTATTCCCATGCTCAAATCACTTCTCGGTATTGGCTTAAGTGAATGACAAAATATTAACTACCTTAAGCGATAGGTTCTTTACCTTAGTCAGTTCCTAATATGGCAACCTAAATTGATATCATAGAGGCCTTGAAAGCATCAAGGTGCCTTTTACATACCTGAATGAAAACAAAAGCCTAATTTAACCAAAAAGGAGACTGTGACTACTGCAAACGTTCATAAAAAGAACAGAATAGTTTTCTATAGTAATCTACACCATCTGTAATTATAAAATGTCATCTTTATCTATTCCCTCTTGTCAAAAGAACAATACTTAGAACCACATGTAATAATTTTTCATGCTCATTCATATTCATAAACATGAAGACATGTATACTAACATAATCATTCTACCAGTATTTACTTTTACGGAAAATTTATTAACTTAATTGTTTCTTGGTTTTTATATCAGGGACAAAGATGTTTAGCTAACATGATCATACAAACTACGAGTGTGCATGTATGTGTGTACACCCATTTAGGCATGTGCACCAATCAAGGTTTTCAATTGGAAATTACAATTAGCTACTTCATAAATGCTTTTGGCTATGCATGCATATTCACAAAGTCACCCGCTTTTTAAAAGTATTGAACATTTTCATTACTAAATTGCAAATCTGGATTTTATGAATGTTGCCTATCCTACTGGAGACCAGTGTTGACTAATACTCTTCTAAATATCAAGGCAGAAAGCCCAAATTAATAATAGTATAATTAACATAAATCAGTATTAATTTGTATTGATAATAGGACTGTTCTGTATGTGATCATTGTGTCCTGTGTCCTCACCTACAGGCATTATCCTTATATGTGTGTACGTATATGTTTGTTTCAGAAATTTAAAAATAACGTTGTTATACTTTATATCTGGATTCAGTAGGGAATGAAACAAAGTTTATATTTGTTAATTGAAATGCATAATATTGAAAACTATCCAAAAAATGCCTTGAGAAAAATTACAGCCAAGATAAAATGCTTAAGTGTTCAATTTATTTCATGATCCTTGAATCTCCTGGAACTTAAATTATACATTAACCTGATAATAGTTAACTTAGGACAGAATGTGAACTAGATCCCAATTATAAATTATAAATTTTATGTGTACATGTTTAACCATTCATCAGACACAGAACTTTTTTTTTTTTTTTTTTGAGACAGTCTTACTCTGCCACCCAGGCTGGAGTGCAGTGGTACAATCGTAGCTCCCTGCAACCTCGAAATCTTAGGTTCAAAAGACCCTCCAACATCAGCCTTCTGAGTAGCTGGGACCACATGTGCCACCACAACCGGCTAATTTTTTTATTTTGCAGGCTGGTCTCAAACTCCTGGCTTCAAGCAGTCCTCCCACCTTGGCTTTTGAAGTGTTGGGATTACAGGCATGAGCCACTGCCTCAAGCCAGAATGTCTTGATGAAATCTGAATTAAAAAGATTTTGTTTCCACCAGCTATCCAGGGCAAAACAGAGGAGGAATACAGTAATCCTTGTTAGTAGCTCTCTTTACTCTTCCTAGATTTACTCTTTGATCTGTGCTTCTCAATAGTCTTTACTTTCTTAATCATACGACCTCCTACAATAAGGTTTTTGTTTTATTTGGGTTTTTGCCAATGTATTTGTTGATATTTAAATTTTAATTACAACAAAATGGCAAAACTTCATGAGTTTTATTATTTCAAATAATTTTTCACATGAAGACATATTTTATATGTATTAAGACATGAAATGAAAAGAGGGTGGAGAAATATTTGGAAAAATGTGATTATATGTATTAGGATGTGAAATGGAAAAGAGGGTGGAGAAAATTTTGGAAAAAAATTTTGAAGTATAAAAGGGAAACTTCTTTTAGATGTTCTTAAAGACATGAAATGACTTCAAAATTTACCCTATTGCAAAGAGAAGAAAAAGCTACATTTGAGCTTATTAAACATATAATTTTTGTCGCTGGGGGGGGACAGGGTCTCACTCTATTGCCCAGGCTAGAGTGCACTGCTGCAGTCCACGCCTCACTGCAACCTCTGCCTCATGGGCTCAAGCAACCCTCCCACATCAGCCTCCTGACTAGCTGGGACTATAAGCCCACACCACCCTGCCCAGCTAATTTTTGTATTTTTTGTAGAGACAGGGTCTGGCCATGTTGCCCCGCCTGGTCTCCTGAGCTCAAGTGATCCACTTCCCCTGGCCTTCTGAAGTGCTGGAATTATAAAAGTGAGCCACTGCACCCAGCCCACAAATATTTTTTTTTCAAACTTTTCCCTAGGTTGAAAAACAAATGAAAATGACGATAGGTATAAGTACTCTTTTGGCACAAGTACTCCTCAGGAAGCATTCAGGTTCCTACCATGATATTTTGGAAGAGAAAGATCACAATTCTCTAAGAATTTGCAAATATGATATATATAGTTTTTATTAAGTTCCTTCTACTTTTTGACAAATTCCAAAATAATCTAACTATAATGTTGACCAGTTTTGTTGAACTCCTATCCTCAAGTGATCCACCCACCTTGGCCTTGCAAAGGTCCTGAGATTACAAGCATGAGCCACCATGCCCAGTGATCAGTTTTCCTTCCTTTTAAGATTCTCTAAAAAATGAAACATGCATAGAAAATAGAGCCACTTTCTTAATAACACTTGGTTTGAAGTAGAAATTAGTCTCAAAGTATGCTTTTATTGCCTTGTTTTTAGGACATTTATTTCAATCCATACAAAACATCCAAATAATTTGGTCTTGGAATCCCATTCATTAGTAAACTAAAGGACCATCCAAAAAAATAACAATCTGGGGTTACACTTGATCCTTGGAGAGTAAATGATTCTAGAAATATAAGTTCTGTCATTCTCTTTTCTCCTATAACATACATAACACTCTG